CTCTTTATTAAAAAATCATCACTGCATCGAGTTGTATCTACGAAAAGTGTTATAGAATCGGAAGAAATAAGTTACATATCATTAGAGTCTTCAAAGAGCTCGTTTCGCAAATTACAGATTTACATATCTGTAATTTGCGAAACGGCGCACTTCTGACCTTTTGGCTCAAAGTCTTTATTTAAAAATCATCACTGCATCGAGTTGTATTTACGAATTGTGTTTACGAAACGGAAGAAATAAGTTATATATCGCTAGAGTCTTCGAAGAGCTGGTTTCGCAAAATACAGTACGGGTTTACTCGTTTCGTTTCGTTTCGTTTCGTTTCGTTTCGCAAAATACAGTAAGCCAGGTAGAATACTAGCATTCCCGGTGTTATTATTAACGATTATTTAATTATTGATTTATTATTTCTACTTCATTTTTAACTTTAATATTGATTTGTTTCTTATTTTGTTTATATTTATATATTTTTTATTTTTAATATATTGTCTATTTTAATATTATTTTTAATTTTTTTGGACTCTCGACATATTAAACTTCACCCTCGACATGTAACCCTCGACGCTCGACCAAAAGGTAGACTCCTTTCAACCTTAACTATTTGGATAAAACCCAATGACCTATCAAAAAATAAATTCAGTAATTAATAGTTTTAAGTGGTAACCGATCTCCCGCCTTGTTTGATCCTGCCACGGAAACTTCGACGCTAAGTTTTTAATGGCTAGACGTTTGCAAAAAATACACTTTTCAAGTTTATTAATAGTGTTTTTTTTTTACTCTGGTTTAAATATTTAGAGATATCTCTTCTCTTAGTTAACCATATAAAGAACGCAATTAAAAACCTGTTCAACAAACCGGTCCGTTTAATTTATCAACAAAACGACTTTTCATTCAGCAGACACAGGAGTATTTTGCTTCTTTATCACACAAAACAAGTAAATACCATGTATCCATGCATCTATTCGGAGATAGATCAAACTGAGTACGTCAAAATATGATAAGGAAATCAGTGACACACGAGGCACATGTTCTTACCACGTTTTGTCCCCATCTGTTCGGCAAGTTGGCTGAGTTCAGCCCGGTTTCTAAGCAATTTGAGAAAGTGATCCCAAAAAAATTTTTTGCTCCACGTGTTTTTGTCGTTGGAGTGATGTAGCATGGCGACCACATTTTTTTGTGTGTGTGTGTTTTGTTTTTTTTTTTAGTATACTCTAGTAAGCAGCACACAGCAACAGATCTTGTTAAACAAAATTAAACATTCTCATTCTAAAATTAAACATTGCACATTTTTAGCATCACGCAGGATTTTAGTCATATCCTGCACGTAATGTTTTTAGGGTGTTTTTTAGCTGTTCACACCCTTCTTGGAACGTGATTTGTACTACAATGATTAGGTATAAAATAAGTTCCTTCACTATCTTGTTCAAACTCCCTGACGAAGTTTGCGTTATCAGACGAAACCGGTAGGAGAAAATAAAGAAGTTGGCAAGATCTGTTGCTGTGTGCTGTTCACTAGAGTATGTTTAAAAGATTAAAAAAAATTTTAAAAAAAATGGACAACCATTTTTTTGTTGTTGGTGGGGTTGAAATGGCTAGTTATGGATGAGAGGCTGTAATTTTACTTGATATTAGCTACTTCACATGCTCTCCCTCTAGAGCTAATTNGCCAAAATGGCAAAACGGCAACTAGTGGCCAAAATGGCAAAACGGCAACTAGTGGCCAAAATGGCAAAACGGCAACTAGTGGCCAAAATGGCAAAACGGCAACTAGTGGCCAAAATGGCAAAACGGCAACTAGTGGCCAAAATGGCAAAACGGCAACTAGTGGCCAAAATGGCTAAACGGCCAGTAGTGGCCAAAATGGCTAAACGGCAACTAGTGGCCAAAATGGCTAAACGGCTACTAGTGGTAAAAATAACTAAACGGCCACTAGTGGCCGTCTAGCCCTTTTGGCCGGCACTAGTGGCAAAAATGCCTATAGGGTAACTAGTGGCCAAAATGGTTAAATGGCACTTGTGGGCAAAATGCGTAAACCACGATATGTGGCCAAAGTGGGGAAACGGCCGCTAGGGGCCAAAATGGCGAAACGGCCACAAGTGGCCAAAGTCCATAAACGGCCACTAGTGGCTAAAATGGCTAAAGGGCCACTAGTGGCTAAAATGGCTGAACGGCCAATAGTGGCCAAAATGGCGAAACGGACGCTAGTGGCCAAAATGCTTTAACGGCCACTAGTGGCCAAAATGCTTTAATGGCCACTCGTGGCCAAAATGGCTTAGTGGCCACTGATGGCGAAACTTTGAAGATAGTTCGCAGTGTGGTCTTATCGCTGAGCAGTTGGACAGCTAATACATTTGAATGAGTCTTGGAAGTTTCTTTCATCCATTTTTTAAGTAATTAATTTAACCTAAAATAGGATGATAAATTTCAATTTTCTCTATTTCCCGAGGTCGCTTTCTTTCTCTGTTTTTTTTTTTGTCTTTGAGATTTTTTTTACCTCCTTGTCACCTTCCTCATTACCCCTCGGTACTATTCCCCTGTGCTATTTCCCACGGATTGATCAGATCTCCGTGTTTCCCCAGGAGTCCTTATCTCCACCCCTCATTCCGTTAGAGTTCTTTATCTCCCCCTTTTCAACAAATGGTAAACACCACAGCGTACACTATTAGTTATGGATGCACGCGGGAGGTTGCTAAGCACGAAAGAAGCGTAAGAGTGGCTCGAGGCGATAGAAAAATAAACGAAAATAACTGGGGAAAAAACTGGGAAAGAAGCGTAAGAGTCGTTCGAGGCGATAGCCTCGAGCGACTCTAGCTTCTTGAGTGCTTAGCAAACCTCCCAAGTGCATCCATAACTCAATAATGTAAGCTGTGGAGTTT